TGTGACTACACATAACCAAAGCATAAGTAGCCTAAGTGCAGTCCAGCAGGACGAATAGTAATTATACAGTAGCAACGAGGGTCCTACACTAGTGATAATCTGTCAGAGCTGCCGTGAATTCCTCGTGAGCCACCAACAAGCACTCCTACCTAAAACCTGAAGGGGCGCAAAACGGAAAGTGTGAGTGGAAAAAACAAAGCTTTTCAAAACCATTTCATTTATCAAAAGTTCTAACCCCTCGCCGTTCCCAGAGAATAGAATATATTCATATTTACATCAAAAGCATACTCATAATAGCGATAATCATAAGTATGCCCTGCCAAATATCACAATGCAACAAAATAACTTAGGTGAAATAACTCATGAGAAATAACATGTCAGCCGGATCCACCTAAAGGGGCCTGTACGGTTGAATCTATAGCTCAACAAGTATGCTTGCATACGAGTCGGAACCACCGAATGTGGTCTGTACGATAGGACTAGGTGTAAATAAATATGCTCAAGTGCTATGATCACGTGAAGACTGTGCGAATAATCGTGGGTCACCTACGAGTCGGAACCACCTATAGTGGTATGTACGATAGGACTATGCACCTAACTTGGATCCAAGGTGAGCGTATGGTGCGGGAGGTGAACATCACGTGAAAGACTGTGCCCTAACCACGGGCGAGAGCACTAACACCAGAGTGCAGGTTTATGAGCTCTCAACACATCTCACATGATCATCAATTCACAATAACAATCTACAACTCACTTGAGCGTCCATCGCGTCGAATCACATATGTATATACGATACAATTTCATAGTTTAAGTATAAATCAATAGGCATGGCATTTCAAAACATAATTTCATTTAAACACATTTTCTGGGAAAAATACCAAGTATATAAGTATATACTGAAAACCAAAAGCCCACTCACTGATATGTGGAAGGGTCGTAACCCTCGAGCCTTACTTGACTGCGCTCGTCCTCAGGATAGGTCTCACCTATATGCGAAACAACTATATAAACGTTATTTAAAGCACATAACCAAAACTAGGTAATAACTTCTCATACATTGCTCAATTGGGGTGTTTGAATATACCAATGTGATCTACTCAACCCCACGAACATCCCCATATTTTTAGAAAAATTTTCCAACGTCCCACGAGCCGTCACGTGCCGGCCAAGGCATTGCCAGACGCGCCGCCCACTCATAGGCACGTGCATGGCACACTGACGGATTCGGCATTAGGGAATATTCCGTTAAATAAAAGCATAAGCCGTTAAAGATACCTGATGCCATTAGAATATTCCCTCAAAGTTGATGGAATATTCACCTTCTTCTCCGGCGAGTCATCAAATTCCGTCGCCGTCGCCGTTTGTGTCACCAGAAACTGGGAAAAACTTTAAACTTCAATATCTTTCTCATTTTTCATCCAAATTTCATAAAATTTGCACCAATTTGAAGCTTAGGACTAAAGGAACACTTCCTTACCACTTTTAGGTCCTAAATCCAACGAAAACTCGCCGGAAAAATTCGAGGAAACCGGCTAAACCCTGCAACTATATAAACCCGAACATTCTAACGTCAAAACCACTCCAAAATCGATCCAACGTGCTAGAAAAGTAAAAATATTACCTTCATAAGTCTCGAAGCAACCTAAAACCTTCGCGATCACGTCGGAGGAATTTCCACCCCTCACTGGAGCTCGGGTAACTCAGGTTTTACAAGTCCTCACGTCCAACCAAGGGTATAGATCGACTTCCGAGCTTGCAAGGAGTCCAAAGATACCATTCACGACCTCGATCCGTGCCTGAAAGGGTTGGTTCACGAGTTGACCTCCAAAGATACCATTCACGACCTCGATCCGTGCCTGAAAGGGTTGGTTCACAAGTTGACCGTACAATTGTACAGAAAATGGAAGAAATCCGAGAGGGAAGGAGAGAGAGGGTCCACGGGTTGGTGTGTGTGTGGTCCAGGTTTGGGCAACCAAACAAAAATAATTAAAACTTAAAAATCTAATTGGGTCCAAAAGCTAAGGAAGAAAATGGATTGGTCAAAATATTAAGCTTATTCCACACAACACAACCACACAACGTTCAAGAGCAATATAGACATTTCACACCATCGAAAATATATTTTGGGACAGGTTGTCACATTTGACCCCCCTCTAATTTTTTTCTTTATTTGAATTTTTGGGACTTATATTGAATTTTAATGTGTCTTGCAACCTGCATGAATTGGGAGGGGGTCATTTCATTTTTGGATATAGAACGAATAGGTTCAAGAGATGAGAGAAATAAGGATACCCACTAGAAAGACTAATCCAATTCATAATGATGTGCCGGAAAAATAGAACATTTTTGTTACCCAACCAACCCTCAGGAGAAACAAATACAACAGGTTACACTAATCATTAAGATTAATGAAGTAGCAATTAATGCAAAACAGCCAATTGGAAAGCAATAAGTCATTTTTCTAATCCTCCAATCTACCAACAAAAGAATCATATTATTTGATCCTGGTTTTCAAGACCAGATCTATCAACCACTCGGCCATCTCTCTGAAAGATAATTTCTATTTTATTTTTATTTTCCATATTTTATTTTTATTCCACCCCATAGAACACAGACATATGTGTTAATACCATTACTATCTACAAAAAGATATCGGGTGTGAATCTATCGGTCTATCTATTATGTATATATATAATATAGATGCATGATCCAGCAAGCATTGCCCATTTGTAAAATTTATAAAGTAAAAAAAAAAAAAAGGATTCATGGTAAAAGGATTTGCAGTCATAAATAGCTCCGATATTGTTATTCATGATATTGATTTGATTCAATATCATCGAGATGCAATGCATCCCATTGAATTTACAGGCGAAAGATTTATTATCTCGATGGGATTAACTCTCGAGTTATTGCAAATTAAAGAAAAATTAAACAATGAGATTATGGAAGTAAATATTCTCGCATTAATTGCTATTGCACTGTTTATTTCTAGTTCCTACTACCTTTTTACTTATAATATACGTAATGTGACAATCCGTCCTTAATTTTACGTTTTTATTAATTTTAAAAGCATGGATTTACGAAAATGCCTTAGAGGTAAGGACTTTTGACTTCCGTTGACCATCGGTTTGAGAGACGTATGACTTATTCTTTTAGCGTATCCTTGTAGTACTCGTCACTATGAACGCATATGCGAAAGCCGTTTGCAAGTCCGGATTATAACGGTATATAGTTACGGACGTTTGAAATTGGTTAAGTACATTTTAGTTAAATATTTTTCAACTCCCACCATATGGGGATGGTAACCAATTTGAGGTGATGAAGGGATATAAGTGACCAATCAGAATTTGGGTGAAAGAAGCCCAATCGGAAATCAGGAAAAAAAAAAAAAAAAAAAAAAAGCCCAGCTTTCCCGTGGGTTCTTCCACACATTCAACCCAGTTTGACCTCCAATTTTCCAAGGTCGATTTTGGACAACTCCGGTGGATTTTTTCGATGCCACCACCATCATCTTGAAGTTCTCATTCCCCTCTACAAAACCCAACCAAGAACCACCTTGATTAACCACGGTATGTGGCAGTTTGAGGCCATGAAAGTCGATGAAAATCAATAGTGCTCCGGCCACTCGTTTCAATTTTTCGGCGAATCGGCAAAGCGATGGCCGATGCCACCACTTGGGCTTTGTAGCCCATCATCTCAGGAGTAAATCCCAACCAACCTTGATGTGAAATCCCGTCCCCGGAATTTCACTACTCATTATGTATCTCGTAATTTAAGTTCGTATTTCACGTTTACGTCATTTTTATTACTTAATTTTAATTCCGTAAATTTTGGGAATTAAATTGATTAGTTATCTAATTGGAAGTTTCATAATCAATCTTTATCTTCCGTTGACCTTTCGAAGGTATAACTAGTGTTTTTGAATAGATCTCGAACCCACGAACGCATAGGCGTAAGCCGTTTGCGAGTCCGGGTTTTAACGGTATAGTTGCGGACATTTGAAGTTGTGTTACTAAACTATAGATTTTTAAATTTATTTAAAACTTCTATGTGGAAATGATAGAGTAAACTGTCGGTTTACCCCCTGAACTTTCACCTCACTTTCGATTTCCCCCCTGAACTTTTCCATTGGAAAATTAAGGACTCAAACTAATTTTTTTAGCCAATTTGCCCCCTACCGTTAGTTTTTCATATATTCCATCCATATTTCCGTTAAGTGAGACCATGTGCACAACATGTGAGGGTAGTTAAGTTATTTCACTCTTAAAAATGATTAAAAAACTAAAAATAATAAAAAAAGCAAAACTTTCCCTCTATTTTTTCCCGCTAATTCCTATCCTCGATTTTATTTTTCCCTCTCATTCCTATGCATGAGAAATGACATATGGTGTTATTGTCTACCATTTTTATTTTCTCTAACAAATTAATAATTTGACAAATGCTAATGGTGCTATTGTCTCCAAAGCAGTGCATTAATATAAGAAACCCTAGTCTTTTTTATGGACATGTTTCTTATATTAATGCACTGCTTTGGAGACAATAACACCATAAGCATTTGTCAAATTATTAATTTGTTAGAGAAAATAAAAATGGTAGTACATGCTTCAAAAAAAAGATTAACTTAGCTACTTATGAAGACAATAACACCATATGTTATTTCTCATGCATAGGAATGAGAGGGAAAATTAAAATTGAGGATAGGAATTAGCGGGAAAAAATAGAGGGAAAATTATTATTATTATTTATTTTCAGTTTTTAATCATTTTTAAATTGAAATGACTTAACTATCCTCACATGTTATGCACATGGTCTCACTTAACGGAAATATGGATGGAATATATGAAAAACTAACGGTAGGGGGCAAATTGGCTAAAAAAATTAGTTTGAGTCCTTAATTTTCCAATAGAAAAGTTCAGGGGGGAAATCGAAAGTGAGGTGAAAGTTCAGGGGGTAAACCGACAGTTTACCCGGAAATGATAACCAATCAGGAAAAAAAAACAGAGAGAGAACTCTAGAAGCTGCCTGATGGCAGCAGGGGAGAGGAAGAAAAGAAGAGATGCGGAAATCAAACGCACATCAGCAGCAAAGAGGATTTTCCTTTTCCTCTCCTCCTTCAAATCTTATTTTCCTCTTTAAATTCACTCTGGAACTCCAAATTTTGTGCAGTTTTGCCCACGAACTCAGACTATCTCAGCGAGACAATCTCTACTCTCGAAGGGTGATAGTCTTTCAGAGAGTGGATTAGACAGAGATGGCAAATCAAGGTACTAATAAGCGCAAGGAAGAGAATGCCCGCCACATGGCCAATCTCCGTCGCCTCATCATGGCCTGTAATGTTATTTATGTGCTAATGGTGGCTTTGATATGACTACTGGTGGAGTATGCGGCTATTTGCATGATCTCATCTACATCACCTGCTCCGTGCAAGTCATGTCCATAATCTCTGGAAAATTTGGTACACATATCTGCTGGTGAGATCTATCTAATTAACCATTTTTCTTGTTGCCACCCATTTATATATATATATATATATATATATATATATTACCTGCTTAGAACCTTGCGTGGATGTTTCCAATGAGGTGGAGACTCATCACCATTATCATGTGTTTATTTACCAGGAATGAGAATGTAAGATTTGGGGATTATTCTCATTCCTGACATATCTGCATTTACTAACACTCAAGGAATGCAAATGTTGGGTGTTAGCTTATGGTAATTTGCTGCTTTGGTTCTCAAAAGCAATATGATTTGTCAAGTTCTGTGAATCTGCTAAACAAAATTAAGTTTTGCCTAACATATTCTTTAATCAATAGAGAAGTCAAAGAATACTGTCTCTCTTTTGAATCTTTGTGAATAAGGGTAGGAATGGTAGTATGGTATTAAGGGTCTAGGAATGCATTTTTGTTATGGAATTTGTGAAGTTCAATAACTCTGTCAAATTTGGATTTTGGGCCAATATTACGGTTTTCTTAATTGATTGTGCTTAAGTTGATGCATCATGCTGGATATATAATATGTTCGGAAATTAATCTTTAGTCTTAGGAAGTGTATGTTATGATTAGAATGGTGATAGCGTCTGTCCACAAGACTATGAATGAGTGTGTCATGTCTTCTCTGTAAATTTGTTCGGACCTTATGTCTTGAAACTTTGTTTGGATGTTGCATCTTAATCAAAATAAATGAAACCTCTGAGAGGCACTACGGGATACTAAGTGAAGTCTAGTGGGCCTACATTGGTTAGAGAGTGACTTGAACATACATGATATGGTTATTACCTTGATTTCTTATATTGGTATTATCTATGAATATGACTTGGTTTTATAATGTGACTTCTATTGAATGTGATTTTATATATTTAGCCATAGACCTATGTTTATTAAACATGATTTGGCTTGTGTACTGATGATGATTGTGATATGTGAATTGACTTGCATATTTGAAAGGTGGTTGATTTGCATAGATGGTATGATATGATAAAATGTGAGTGACTTTAATATATGTGATATAGGTGATTATCCTGTTTTCATAACTATTATCCTGTGTGGATATGAGATGGTTTTATGATTATGTTTCCTATAAAATTATTAAGTTTTATATTGAAGTTTCTGGTGTGGGATTTGACATGCATATTGGAAATATTGTTGTTGTATGATTGGCTTAGTGTGATGAAATGTGAGGGGTAGTAGTGGACCGTTAACCCATTGTCATGGGTTTGTCACTTCGAAACATGTTTCACCCCTCGTTTCATTATTTCATTTCTCGTTTCGTTGAACCTTTGTAACCTGAGTAACTTGATCCATGTTTTGTTTCATTGAGTGGTTGTTAGGCATTGTACTCCGTGATTCCGTTGAGTGATGATCCGGAATCGTATCCTGGTTTGGATTCCGTTTAGTGATGGTCCGGAATCCCTTCTACTCTGCGGTTCCGTTGAGTGATGATCCGGAATCGTATCCTGATTTGGATTCCGTTGAGTGATGGTCCATAATCCCTTCTACTCTGCGGTTCCGTTGAATAATGGTCCGGAATCTTATCCTGGTTTGGATTCCATTGAGTGAAGGTCCGGAATCCCCTTTGGTGTCTTGGTTTAGTTAAGTGGTCTGAAATCCCATTTTCCAGAGATGTAGGCTTCGGCCGAACGGCGTCACTGTAGCCCCGCATTTCAGTGCATTGGATGTGTTATTGATTGATATGGTTTGAAATGATGTTTGTTATGATTATTGTAATTATGATTAGAATTGTTGGCTATTGTGACTAGAGAATATTATTGTGCTTCGTCGAATGTTCTTGGGATGTTGCATGCCTGAATTGTGGTTTGTGTGGAGACATAATGGTTTATGTGATGTGATGAAAGTTCGAGTGTATTGAAACGACGAACTACAAATGGCTTGATCCTTATTTAGGGTACGTAGGCAGTCTAACGAGGAGGTTAGATGCAGCCATAAAGTATACACAAAATTATTATGCATCTGGATCTTGAATTATATATTGTTCATATCCTAAAGGCGGAGTATGTTGAGTTACGGGCATTTAGGGACGTCATGCGTCGATCTTGGACGTATGTCGGGATCGGGGCGTGACACTTGACCCCGTTGGGCCACCGTAGACGACGAATCAACGCTGGGAAGCTTTAGGCACCCGCCGACTTTGTGGGAAAAATTGATCATCTTCTGTCCACTTTTGGACTTCATGGCAGGTATGAAAGTTGTTCATCTATCTGAGATCTTCATTTCTGTAAAATTTGAGAATTTTTAGAAATAGTGGAATTTTCCTGCGAACCGTGGCGGCCAGCCACCACGCGAGGCGGTGCGTGGGCCGAGACCTCATCTGACCACCTTAGGCTAATTTTGAAGCCCTGATTCCATATTTGTCATCCGTTTAGTGAACTTATGATGTTTTCATGTAGTTTCATAGTTGACCACCTAGTTGGCCGTCATGGGGTCCTTGCATGAATTGACGATCCAACCGTTGGATCGTCACCAAACCTTAGAACCTTATAGTACGTAATATTTGAGGATCATAGGAAGTTACGGATTGAGAAACCGTGTATGGATCTTCCCGAATTGAATTTGTTAGTTCACAAAATAAAGTGTTGACCTCCACTTAATTTTGGCAATTGGCGAAGATTCGACCATTGGATTATTCTAAAACTTTAGAATGTTGTTTTAGAAGCATAATTTGAATCTTTGGAAGTTATGGATCAGAAATCTAAGGTACGAATCTTCCGGATCGAGTTATGTAGGGTTGTGGACCCTACCGTTGACCTTTGACCGACGATTGACTTTTGGTCAATGAGTTTCAAATCATTCTAGAACGACCTTGGGGATGTGTTTTATGTCAGTTGTGTGTTCTATCAATAAGAATCCTGAGTTGTGATTTGATATTTGTTCTAGGCAACGTTTGTTCGTGACGTTTTGATATTTGTGCTAGGGAGTTATAACGCGGACTCCAGGTGAGTAGGCAGTTTATTTTATACCTATACATATTGATAATTTCTCTAAATGCGTATTTACTTTACTTTTACGCTTATATTGCCAAGTATCGTTATTGTGATATTAATTGTGATAAATGCTGTTATATGGTTGGGATATTACTATCATGACATTCATACATATTTGTACATGCTCATCTTGCTGCACCAGTGTTAGTACTCACCCCAGGGCCAGGACCAGTCATTCACGTGTATGTTCACATCGCACCGTTTGCTCGCCTTAGATCCAAGTTAGGTGCTAGTCTTGTCGGGTAGATTGCATTAGGCAATCCGACTTGTATATGATGTGCTTCTACACCAGTCTTCACGTGATCGTAGTATTAGAGTGTATTGATTACTCCCAGTCTTGTACGTGTCGGAAATTATCTGTTCGAACTCGTGTGTCAGCTTAGATGGATGAGCATTTAGCTATACTTGATTATCACATGATTATATTACTGCGGCATTTGATATATCATGACTTGGCATATTTCTGGTTATAATGTTGTTGTATTATTGTTTACATACTTACATAGTATGTTTTAAGGAAACTATACTTGTTTTACAAGGAGGGGTTAGTATATTCGGAAATAAAGGTTTTTACAAAACGTTGTTTTACTGACCCACTCAACTTTGTTTTTCGCCCCTCCTGGTTTAGTAGCTTAGCTTGCGTGTAAACGAGGACTCTGGCAAGATCTTAGTAGATGGGTACCTTAGTGGTATAACCCTCACCCTAATTACTGTACTGTTCTTATGCTCTACCATCACGTGTGAAATGGGTGCAATCTCGCTCACCGGCGCACTCTTTTGTTTTAGGCACTTTTAGGTTTAAATTTATTCACTTTTTCACATCACTTACCCTTATAGTTACGTTACCTCACAGTGATGGCCAGCATGCTTCAACCTTCTCAAGTTAGGGTGTGTCACATAAAAACAGTCAGCCAAGGTGATTAATTTGAATTAAACTTGATTTTTTATTTCTTATCAATAATTGCAGAGAAGAAAATGATAAACATTTTGCGTCTTAAATGAAATGGGCAGACTAGAATAAGTTGTATTCTATACGATACGATATAGTGTGGTAGAAAGATTTAGATATTTCTTTCTACCATACTATCTAGTATTGTTATTGTAGTGTATAAAAATTGTATTGTAATGCGGGTTAATTTAATATAGATTAATATAGATCAATCTACAATAGTAAACATCATATTCCTTTTCTCTATATATATAGAAATCGATTTAATTACGTGTATAATATATATATTGTATTGTAATGCGGGTTAATTTAATATAGATTAATATAGATCAATCTACAATAGTAACATCATATTCCTTTTCTCTATATATAGAAATCGATTTAATTACGTATATAATATATATATATAGTGATCATGTATATTATATAGTATCCCAATTCTATTTCTTTGCTTTATCTATTTGTATTTTGTATTATTTCCATTAAATTAATTTGAAATAATCGAAATCGACTTTTACAATTAGAATTTCTAGATTTCTGATTATTTTCAATATGAATCCCGGTTGAGAGAATCAATCAGAGAAGTCATTGATTGAGGAATTGACAAAATATCCATGGGAACTTCTTCAGATTTTGAAAAAAATGGGATCACTTCTTATGGACTCGTTGAGAATGATTCTGATCTAGTTCATGGCCTATTGAAGCAGAAGGCGCTCCGGTGGGATCCTCACAGACAGAAAAAGATTATAGTCAGTTTGATAATGATCGAGTGACATTGCTTCTTCGGCCCGAACCAAGGAATCCCTTAGATATGATGCAAAATGGATCTTGTTTTTATCGTTGATCAGAGATTTCTCTATGAACAATACGAATCAGAGTTTGAAGAAGGGGAAGAAGTCCTCAACCCACAACGGATAGAGGAAGATTTATTCAATCACATAGTTTGGGCTCCTAGAATATGTCGCATTTGGGGCTTTCTATTTGATTGCATTGAAAGGCCCTATGAATTGGGATTTCCCTATTGGGTCAAGTCATTTCGGGGCAAGCGGATCATTTATGATGAAGAGGATGGGCTTCAAAAGAATAATTCAGAGTTCTTGCAAAGTGGAACCATGCAGTACTAGACACGAGATAGATCTTCCAAAGAGCAAGGCTTTTTTTCTAATAAGCCAATTCATTTGGGACCCTGCGGATCCACTCTTTTTTCCTATTCAAAGATCAGCCTGTGTTTTCACATTGAGAATTCTTTGCAGATGAAGAGATGTCAAATGGGCTTTTTACTTCCCAAACGGATCTTGCTACATCTATATATAAATGCTAGTTTACCAAGAATACACAAGAAAGGTACTTCGAATTGTTAATTCATCGCTATAGATGGCTTCGAACCAATAGTTCATCATGTAATTGATTTTTTTGTTCTAATACTCCATCTAAGAGTTATCAGTATTTATCAAAGTTGTTTCTATCTAACGGAACACTATTGGATCAAATGACAAAGACATTGTTGAGAAAAAATGACTTTTCCCAGATGAAACGAAAATTGGATTCATGTAACAAAAGAAAGGTTTCCCTCCTTAGCCGGAGAAGGGTAAGATAAGTTTTTAGATATTGTGTGTTTTAAGAAACTATACAATCAATCGAAGGGGTGGATCCAACCCAAACAAAAAAGAAAGATTTCTTCTAAACAAGGAATTAAGGAAACAGGATTCAGATTCAAAATACAAGGCAAAGGGAAAAAAATTTCATATATTTTGTATCATGTTATTCTTAGGGTTGACCTTCGCTATTTTTTATCATCACTTGACTTGATATTATAATAATATCACTTGAATATTATATTTTATATAAAATTTAATGGAATTAAAAAAAAATTATTATAAAAGAATTACATTTTTTAAAATTTAAAATTAAAATTTTGAATTTATTAAATAACTTATTAATAACTTAATTAATTTATAATATAATAACTTATTAATTTATAATATCTTTATATAAACTAACATCTTTAGATTATATTAGAATATAAAATATATTTATAATACATAGATATTTATTATTTTATATTTTATACAATTATATATATATTTATTATTTTAAAATTTTAAAATTTACATATTAATGATTTAATCGGTCTTCTCAAGGCAGTTTACTTACTTACTTTAAAGAGTAAGAAATTTTTGTTATAGATAATGGATGTCCTTGGCTTCATCTGAACGGTGTAATAAAGCAAGGTAAGAGGAACATATAAGTCATGTTGCTTGTGCTTAATTAATGTATAAGACTTGGATCAAGCTAGGGCTCGTTCGCTTAGCAAATCTTTAATTAGTAAGAGCGTTTCTTATTCAAGTCATTCAAAATATCTTTCTTGACATAGAAATCGAAAAAAAATGTATAGATATGGAAATAAATTGTGTCCAATAGGATTTGAACATACACCAAAGGTTTAGAAGACCTCTGTCTTATCCATTAGACAATGGACGCTTTTCATTCCAATTTTCCTATATCTTGTTTAGAAAAATAGTTGAACCAATTTTCAAGTCAATGATGCATTACATTAATTATATATTCATAATTTTTTTTATAAAATATTCAAAATCTCAAAATGTTTAATTCTATTTTTTTTTATTTTTTATTAATTTAATAAAAAATAAAGTAAAAGCGGGTAGTGGGAATCAAACCCGCATCGTTAGCTTGGAAGGCTAGGGGTTATAGTCAACGTTGATTCATCATTTTTAACGTCTCTAATTCAAAATTGAATGTGAAATTTTGGTTTCATTTGGCTCCTTTATGGAAGATGTTTAAATTCCTATATTAAGACATGAACGAAAAAAAAATTCCACCTGTAACATCTATGTCAGCTTTTCTGTCTGAATGTATTCAGAACAACCCGCTTTCTAGACGATCCCTATAGAAAATAGGGGGATTATATTATAACAACCTTTTAAGTTACTTTGTTCTCTATTTCTATGTGAGAGAATCCTTAGAGCAAGTCCACCCCTAAAAATGCAGTCCATTTAATCCACTCAAATGAATAGTGATTGACCCCAATTAACAGTAATTGGTCAAATGCATCTCCACCCTTAAAAAAATATGTTGGTACAAATGCATCTTCATCCCAAAAAAATGCGCTAGCACACAATCCATTTAAAATATTATTAATTTTTTAATAAAATAATAAAAAAATTACATAAAGTAGTACAAATAAATAAGAAATTACATAAGGTACTAAAAATAAATAAGAAATTACATAAAGTACTAGAAATAAATAAGAAATTATACAAAGTCTAAGGAGTTAGGATATGTGGTGCTAGGATCTGTGTAGCTAGAACCCCCTCGACTTGTTTCCTAATCTCTTGCACGCCTCCTTCGCACCACGTCTCTTTTTACCGATGTCCAAAAATATTTAGAATTCGGAGACATTCCCACTAGAGGCTTGTTCATAGTGTCACGATCTGCTTGAACCATCATTTCTTCTCTAAGCATCAGGTTTTCTCGTTTAAGTATTTTTCTTTGTCTCTCATTAGCCGCATCACGTATCTCAGTAGCGTCTAAGATTGCTTGCATAGTCGCAGCTTTTGTCTTATATCTAGCCGCTTCATGTGCTATGTTCAGTTCACCTTGGCGAGCAAGTTCGTCCATATATTTTGTGTAGTCATTCTTGGAAAAACTCCCTTTTTTCTTTGCCGCCCATTTACCTTGAGGCCTTAGGGACCGACAAGTCGGCTCATGCACTTCTTCAGGCGTCATTTCCCGCTCTTTAAATGTGTCGCCTTCCTGTTCGACCGAGTCTACTTCTGATGAACTGTGTACAAAGATGTCGTGCATGACAACTTTTGGACTGGTTTGCACAAGTTTGTATATGGGACAATCTTTAAACAATTTTTAATAATTTTTATAATAATTTTTATTAAGTTAATTAATCTGGACCGTTGGATTTGAAAAAGATTCAAATCCAACAGCCCAGATGTGGACACGTGGCCAACGGCCATAATTCTGACCGTTGTATTATTTTTTTTTTACGTTTTTTGGGCGAAAATCCTGGACCGTTGATCTTGGGATCGAACGGCCCAGAACGCACCACGTCACTAGCCGTTGGGTTTGAATTTCAATTTTTTTTACCGTTGAAAATCCAAAGGCCCAGAACGAGCCACGTGGCTTCTCTCGCTCCCCTCTGTTGCGCCTGCACCGACAGGCCCTGCCCCTTTTTTCTTGTCGGGAACGTGTGCATGTTTCCCACACTCCTGACACAAAAAAAAAAAAAATCAATAGTGGCCTGTGATGTCATGCTGATGCCAGCGTGACATCACATAAGCCGGGCCTTTGCTTAGCACGTTTTGAGCTGCCCTAGAAGTTGGCTTGGGCTGGGTGCTAGCCTATTTGGCTAGGTTGGAATTGCTCTTGGGGAAAGCAATTTGTCTCTACCGAGCTAAAACAATTTGTTGATGTCTCTAATAAACCAAAATCATTGTTTAATAGCCATTTTGCTTCAATTTCCGTAATACAAATTCCAAATTAAAGATTTAGTTACGATTAGAAAATTTAAGCAATTAAGTCTTAAATTCCATCTTTAATTTAGCAGTTGGCCTACAAAACCAGCTCAATTTTTACGGCCTTTTAACGTAAAAATTATACTGAAAAAGGGAAATGCCGGTGGTTTTGAGGTCTATACATGTAGGAGGGAGGAACAAAACGTGGTCATACGAGATGAGAACACTACCTTGCGTGTTGAACGATGGATGTGAATAAAATTAGGTTCAACATAACTTCCTCATACATTAGGGTTCTATAATGCTATTGATGTATGAATTCATGAACCTATGAATTCATGAACCTTTGCTGGAGAGAGTACGCAGACAATGCGATCACATAAATTGATAAGCAGATAATTGGCAAATCATAATAGGGTAGCAACGACACAACACGCAAAGAAATCACCACGCTGGGTCAACAACATGGACATGACTAGAGTAGCAGATTGTTCCAAGTTTTCTCAAACACTATCATCAACAAAACGGTCTCGAGTGACTTATTTATGTACACAACGGAGGTTGTGAAATTCGCAACATATATATGTTTTTACTTACGAGGCTTCAGCAACCGGGTAATGCATGTTAGCGAGCGAATTTTTCAAGAAGGAGCTCCCACAATAAGAATGCTGGTCTGGGCTGCCTACCACAAGCTCACCAAAACCATTGTTTGTGTCAACCAATGTTTCACGGGGATCCATTGATCTGTAACACCTCCCAGAAGACCCAGATTTGCGATATTGCTTCTTATCTTTTCCTCGTGAAGAACTGCTCTTTTGCCATTTCTTTCCATCTTTCTTACAATTTTTCTTGTTCTTTGACTTCTGCTGTTTCTTGGCTGTCACTGTATGTGACATTGATGTAGCAGGCGGATCGTACACATCAGGGGCCCATTTGACAGAAAGTTTCCCGGGTGATAATCCCTCTTTCGCCCGGCTACCTTTTAGGGCAGAAAGTAGCTTCGAAGGAGACTGCACAAGGCATTAAGAACAATAAGAACCTATGTTATGAGAACTACACAAAACTAGACCATCACAACATTTCTTTTCAAGTGGCTAGTTCAATCCATCCAAAACTAAAGACATAAACATAATTATACTAAATCATAATTCCATATTTTCTGGAGAACTTAATATAGGAGATGCACAGAAAATAGTATGTAGCTTCTACACATTGCATGATATGCTAGAGACCAACTATCCGGCAAGAAGGACAAGGCATAATGAACAGGACGAAAAAGCCAAAAAACAAATGAACATTTTCTATATCACAAAGAAACAAACACATTTTGCCTCCACCACTTTAAGTGAAGCCAAGAGGGCGAGGACGGGATGCGATCATACCAACTCACATGCACTGGATCCTATCAGAACTCCGAAGTTAAGTGATTTGACAAAAAAAAAAAAAAAAAAAGAGGGGGAGGACAACCCAAAACTCTAAACCATCTCCAAGTATGCACCACTTTGTGTGATGTGCAGTATATCAAGCTAGGCATAGTCCAATATAGGGTTATTCACTCATTACAATAACAACAGGTTCTTAAGTATATCAACTGAAAACAAAAGTGGTAATGATTAATGGGATGTCCAAGAGAGAGAACATAGTATGAGGGGGAAATGGTGCACAACTCTGTTCCAGTAAGCATATAAATAACTTACAGGCAAAGACACTGAGCGCGAGTGGGCATGGTGATGATTTTCATCCCCGCATAGCACTTCTTCTGGTTCCTCCTTTACTATGCTTGAGGCATTAGGAGAGAGCACACCAGTAGGAATAGGAAAGGTTGCACACTTGTTCAAGCATTTTCGAGTGACGTTTCCCTGTTGTGCATTAGGAACTTCATATGTGTTTCTTTTTTCCACACCACTAGTATTATCCCCATCAGGTGCATGTTCCACTTCTCCAACACCTTTGATCTCAATCGACTCTTTTCCAACATCTTTGGCATCAATCGACACTTTTCCAACATCTTTGGCATCGACGGACACTTCTCCAACATCTTTGGCATCGATGGACACTTCTCCAACATCTTTGGCATCGATCGACTCTTCTCCAACACCTTTGGCATCAATCGACTCTTCTCCAACACCTTTGGCATCAATCGACTCTTTTCCAACATCTTTGGAATCAATAGACTCTTCACTAACATCTTTAACATCAATCGACTCTTCTCCAATACCTCTGATATTCAAGGACTCACCAACAGCACTTACAAGGTCGCTTACTAAATAATCTTCAAGCAAAGTACGAATTTGCTCTTGGTTCGCAGAAGGCTGCAAACCTTGTAAACTGTCTACATTTCGCAACACCGATTTCCCACTAGAAGAGCTTATGTCCATCTACAATAACAAATTCTACACAATGCCAAAATCCACATGTTAACAACATCAAACATCAAACATCAAACATCATTGAAGAAATCAAATCAACACAGTTAACCGGAGAAATCAAATCAACACAGTTAACCAAATCATTGAGCTACAAAAATAACTACATATCCATCATATAATCGAAATATCCAGCTGCCTCATTATCTGAACCTAAATATAAACAAAAACAATGAACACCAAGCTAAATTCATAAAATTAATTACCTCGAATAAAGTTAGCAGATAGAACAAGCTTCGCACCAAGATCTTACAAAACGATTCCAAACTTTTTAAAGCCTTAAAGAGGATTTCTTCGATCCTTAAAACCTCAGATTTCTCGAAGAAATCTCGACGAGAACTCTCTAAACTTCGCTACAAACTGGGAAGCTAAGCAAGAACCACAAGATAAACGAACCCAAGTGAGATTTCGACCTAATGTTAACTAAGGTTACCGCGCCGATCACCTTTTTCGAGATGTTTCAGACGATGAGAGCAAGAGCCGCCGTGGAAGGAAGTCAAGTTGGGGACCGAGGGTCGTAGGAGGAGGTGAGTGGGCACCGAAGGCATTATCGTATGCTCTTCGAAACCCCTAAACCCGTACGTTGCAGCAAAACCCGCCCCAGATCGTGAACCAGAGCTGCGAAATCTGAGAAACCCGGCTTCTAGGTAGTCGTGAAATCGGGGGATTTAGCGGCTTTCAGGGGATTTAGCGGCGGAGCATGGCGGAGGAAGGAAGAATGGATGGATTTGGTGGTGGGTCAAAGTCAAAGGGAGCTTCAGAGATCGCAGAAATGGAGATCAGAGCGGATGGGATTTGGGGGTTTTCCTTGTTTGTATATAAGGAGGAGAAGAAGACGGGTAATGCTTTTGGGTCAATGGGTCCACGCCCGAGTCTGCCGGGTTCGCAGATTATATCGGAGACGTACACGTGTTCATCGGGGATTGCCGCTGGGTCGCGGGAGATTTTTAGTTAGGTTGGGCCAGGTCAACTAACATTTTCCTTTTTCTTTTATTTTTTATTTTCAAGAAAAGGGCTTTCTTGGTATATTTATTTTGCTATTTGTAATTTAAGGGACAATGACTTTTTTTTATTATTTTTTTTATTTTTAACAAAAAATATTATTTATAATAGGAGATGGGCGAGTGGGTTAAGCATCATAGTGAGTTAGCAATAATATGATTCAAATTCGTTTTTGACGAAAATCAAAAATAAAATACAATGCTCAAGTAGGGCTAGTTTCGAAAATAAGAAAGGAAAACAAAACCAATATCTGATTGAAAATCATTAATTTTCAAAATTAGTTCCATTTTTTATTTAGTTTAGTAAATCGAAATGATGAACCTTGTGTAGATTTCTCAGCATTTGGAACTAGACCTGACAAAGTTGTGTTTGCCGTGTTTTTGTGGTTTTTGTGTCAAGTCAATTATTATAATGGGCCATGTCGTGGCTACTAAATTATCTTAATGAGTTTAAGAATTCAAACTTCAACCCGACCTATTAAAAACAATATATACTTTAATAAAAAAATTCAAATGAGATTACTAAATATTAACATCTGAATTCGTAAGGTCCTTTGATTTAGCAATAGGACTACAATTCCGTTAACCACTACAAGCTTAGACTTTCATCCCATATAAATATTACTTTCAAAACACATAACGTTATGCGATAAATACAAAACAAGTATACTATGTTAAATATGAACGAGTCAAGTACGTGAAATATACATGAGCACATGTATAATACACATATTACACGTGAAACTATGACTATCATATAGTTAGGGTTTTTAGTTTAACGGATTACCTACTTGTAGATTTGAATCAAAGCGTTATGTAACTGATTGACCTGATAACACATCGGATCGATTAAGCTTTGACTCAAAATCTGTTATTTTCGTATCATTTTATATCGGATTAACGGGTCATGTGTTAAATGCTAGGTCTAGTTGGAACTTCTAATCCAATTGAGAGATGTGAAGTGAGTCGCCGTTAAAGAGAAGATGAGTGAAGTCGAGAGAACAAGAGCTTATCCACTACATAAAACTTCCAAATTTAATGCAAATCCAGGTGGTAAATCAAACAAAGTTTATCAGAAAATCACGTATTGAAGAAATCCAAATGCAACGACGGTAGTCGATCAAAGAGTGGTGGTAGTTGGCCGCCGTTTAGAACGAGACGGAGAGAGACGAGCAACAGAGTGATGATGGGGGCGGGGTCCGGTGGTCTGGGTTTGAGAGATTGAGAAGAGGAAGGAGACTCTTCTCTTCGCTCTTCTATTCAAAACAACAGTAGGAATTTAATCTTAACCAATATAATGGCTAGGATTATTTATAATGATATGTATTATATAATAAAAGTTTGAAAAAAATTATAATCAATTCGGTTTGGTATTACTAAAAATACGGCGATGAGGTCCATAATCATGTACCGAATTATCGAAGAATAATCCTCTACCAAGAATTATCGAAGAATAATCCTGTGTTGTTGCAGTCCTATTAGATTAGAAATGTGATGGTGTAAATCCTAGTATATCTTGGAATATCTCTTATATTCCTATTAGGAGTAGATTACCTGTTAAATGTTGTAATCCTAAAGGGAAAGGTTTTTACCTATCCTACTACTATAAATAAAGGCACAATGGGATGATACAAACACACCCACAATTACACATCTCTCTCATTCTCTCTACCTATTGCCGCACCCCTCTCTCTAAGAGCAACTACACTATCCAGTGTATGAGCCCTCCCCCCCATGCTATTCACTATTTAATCCACCCAGTAAACAGTAACTGCCCTTAATGAACAATAATTGTCGTGGCAATTGCCTTTTACATCTTCACTCCTGCATTGAATAGCCATGGCAATTGGCAATAAAATAATACATAATAATTTTATTTGTAATTTCGGATAAGATTTTTAATCGTTCTCGTTGAGCCACGTGTCATTATCCGAAAAGCCAATAGCAATAAAATATTTGTATTTTTTTATTTATAAAATAATTCAAAATAATTTTATTTGTAATTTTGGATAAGATTTTTAATCGTTCTCGTTGTGCCACGTGTCATTATCAGCAAAGACAATTATTAGTGATGGATTTTCGATAAGATTTTTAATCGTTGTGTTACGCCACGTGTCATTATCTGAAAAGACAATTATTGGTGATGGATTTCCGATAAGATTTTTAACCAATCACGTCGTGTCACGTGTCATAATCCGATTACAATCTTTGAGGCTAGATTTCCACCAGATTTTTAACGAATAACGGCATGCCACGTGGCATTATATACAACCTAATCATTTCGGAATCCTCCATATAATCCACTATCCATCCTCAGAAATCTCACACAAATTTTCTCAAGATCTCTATCATTATTCATAGTCTCTGCTTCATTCTTCACCAAAATCCCTATCATTATTCATAGTTTCTGCTTCCTTCTTCACCAAAATTTCTATCATTATTCATAGTTTCTGCTTCCTTCTTACAATGTCTTTTTCTTCTTTTTCAAAGATGATGTGGGAAATCGATCAAGAAGAGGAAGAATTGTTTAATCAATCAGAAGGAATGTTCAATGCCGTTGATTGGGCCAACAATGAGATGGAAGAGGATGACGAGCGTAGACGGAGAGATGACGAATCAAGAATGGCAGGAGCCTCACACTCTCGTCGAGTTCCAAGCTATGGTTCAGATCTGTAGGTCCAACCATGCTGTAAACATTGATATAAACAGGCAACGACGAGGTTAGAAGCTCTTGGACGATTATTTTGTCCGTAACAGTGCATTCCCTGATACGTACTTCTGACGTCGTTTTAGAATGGAACGACATGTGTTCAACAAAATCATGGGCGCTATTTGCAACCATGATTCTTACTTTGTGCAAAAGCCGGATGCTTTTGGTGCTATGGGTCTCCTGCCTTAGCAAAAAATTACTGCTGCCTTGAGGATGCTTGCATATGAAGCAGCTGCAAACCAAGTGGACGAGATAACAAGGATGGGAAAATCAACCATTCTTGAGTCCCTGATGAGGTTTTGCTCGGCAATCGAATCTATCTACACAGCAGAGTACCTCCGGAGACCTACTCATATGGACTTGGAAAGGTTTCTGAAGAAGGGCGAGATGTGAGGTTTTCCAGGGATAATTGGAAGCATTGATTGTATGCACTGGACTTGGAAAAACTGTCCAAATGCATGGCAATGCGCTTATGGGGACAGAAAAGGATCAAAAAGTATCATTTTGGAGGCGGTGGAATCTTTTGATACATGGATTTGGCACGCCTTTTTCGGGGTTCCGGGAGCTCAAAATGATCTCAATATCCTTGCCCAATCCCCAGTGTTTAACGAAGTCCTGCAAGGAAAGGCACCAAAAGTCACATACTGGGTCAACAGACGTAAGTACGACGGGCCATACTACCTAGCAGACGGCATTTACCCAAGGTGGGAATCGTTTATCAAAACAGTGTCACGTCCACGAAGTGCAAAGGAAAAATACTTTGCAAGCTGTCAAGAAGGATGCAAGAAAGATGTGGAGCGTTGTTTTGGTATACTCCAAGCTTGCTGGGCTATTGTTAGGGGTGCTGCCAGAATGTTTGATGTAGAGTTGCTTCGATCCATCATGATGACGTGCATCATTCTTCACAACATGATTGTGGAAGATGAGTACGATTATGATGCCGTTGATGAATATCAGCTAGACACGATAAACAATTCTAAAACACAAATATATTGTGTTCATGATGCCACTAAAGAACCTGTGCAACACGAACCATTACAAAGGGATGGACGTTACAATGATAGGGTCATTCAACGATATACTGCACTTCAAAGGCCATATATGCACAATGCCCGCCAAATTGACTTGATAGAGAACCAGTGGGAATTGAGGGGTGCTGAAGATACTTAAGTTCATTAGTGTTATTTGGTGTGTTTATTTTATTTTATGTGGTGTGTTTTTTTAGTTCATTTAGTGAGTTGAAATGTAATTTTGGTATGTTGAAGTAATTTTATTTGGTGTTTGTTTTTATTTGGTGTGTTTTTTTGGTGTGTTGATGTAATTTTATTTGGTGTGTTGATGTTATTTTATTTGGTGTGTTTAAATGTGTTTTGAATAAAGTACTAAATTAAATAAATTGGAAACAACATATTCAATAAATAACCAAATTGAATAAATATACTCTTAGTTTAAATAAAGTACTAAATTCAATAAATTAGAAACAACATAAAGTACTTTATTCAATGAATAAGAAATTACAACCCGAATTGATTGGAAAATTATGGGTTTGTGAATGGATAATCATCACCTAACCAATTTGTCATGCTAGGATGATCTTCTCTTGTCTTGCTAGGATGATCTTCTCTTGTCGTGCTAGGACCATCTCCTCTTACTCTCGCTTCTCTTGCATGCCTCATTCGCATCACGTCCGCTTTCTCCGACTTCCAAAAATATTTAGAGTTTGGAAACTTCCCTTCTAAAGGCTCTTTCATAATGTTACGATCTTGTTTAGCCATTCTTTCTTCTCTTCTATGTTCCCTTTCTTGCCGAAGTAGTTCTCTTTCTCTCTCATCAGCTTCAAATTTTTTCTCAAAAGCTGCAGCTTTTGCATCCTCTCTAGCCTTATCAGCCTCAAATTTAGCCATTTCCCGGGCCAAAGTCAATTCACCTTGGTGGGCAAGGTCTTCCATATACTTTGCGTAATCATTCTTGGAAGCATTACCTTTTCTCTTTGAAGCCTTCTTACCTTGAGGCCTAATTGGAAAACGGGTCGACCCCGACGCTTGTTCAACGGGGGGGGGGGTTTCAGGCACTTCTTCTGCATCATCTTCATCATGAT